TCCTAATTGCACTCACTGAATAAGTTAAACTTAAGTTGTTGTTTTTTTTTTTTTTTTTTAATGTGTTCGACTAAGCTTGTGAACAGTTGGTTTATTTAAGATTGCTGTACTGGTGCATAGTTATAAAATAAATGTGCAATTCAGTAGTTCATTTATGTCTCTTTTTTATTTTTAAATGGGAAAGAAATGTTTCAATTAATGCTGTTTTTCAGTATCGGATCGGATCTGTATCGGCTGATACTAAACCTCAAATATCGGAATCGTATCGGAAGTAAAAAAAAGTGGATCGGTGCATCCCTAATTACAATATCAATCATTGACCTTAGAAATGTCCCGATCAGATACTCAATATTGGTGGCAGATATGGACATTTTTTGAAAATCAGGTAGAATCTGATTTAGTCATGTGATCGGGCCGATCCAGTTTTTGTGACAGTTTTCAGCATCATCATGCTTTACAACTGTCGTAAAGAAGTCAAGATGCACACCAGTATGCAACCATGTCCACAGTGTGGAAACACTTTTCAGTGGAAAACGATGCTGAAACTGCATCTTGCAAAATCTGCGAACTGGATGTTTCTCGTGGTGGGAACAGCAGGGCTCACTTTAATACTACCAACCTTGTCACCTGGAAAGAAATAAAAAATCGGATTGTATCAGGAGCCAAAAAATCTGGATAAGGACATCCCTAATTGACCTTTGACCTAAGGTGGTCTGGTACCAAGTACACTTATGGACCACCCCATGCTCAAACATGGTGTTATGGACAACCTGTGCACAGAAGTCCAATAATAATAGAACACCATTCAGGTTCAGATCAGGGAGGCTGTTCCTCTCAATCACCTCCTTCCAGATAACTCCGTCAATGCCCATGTGACCTTTGAGGTCCCCTAGCAGAACAGGAGTCTCCAGAYGGCACCCCTTCCAGGACACCACCCAAAGACTCCCAAAAGGCCGGGTAATCTGAASTGATGTTTGGTACATAAGCACAAACAGTCAGAACCTTCCCTCCAGCAGCAAGAAGCCACAGAGAGGCAACCCTCTCTTCCACTGGGGTGGACTCAAACATCGCAGCACACAGTCAGGGACTTGTGAGTATCCCCACACATCACCCACCCGTCTCCTCTCTCCCTGTGAGTAACTCCAGAGTAGGAGTCCAGCCTTTCTCCARGAACTGACAGCAGGTATACTGCCAATTATTTTGCTGTGAATTTTTTTTCATATAAAAATAGATCAGGTACACAAAATGGTGTTTTCCATTATGTATTAAACAAATCAGTGTATTGGACATTCATTACTGTGCCGACCCTCATTTCTAACGTTTGACAGAATCTTCATCATGAGAAGAGGATGAAGACTGTAAAACATTTCATCTCCTAACATTTATTATCACACAGTAAACCTATTTTCATACACGAAGGCAGGAGATGAAGGTATAGAATGTAGGAGGGTATACCTGAGCACTAGACGTAATGTCCTCTCTCTGCTGCTCTCCTAAAGGAGCGAGGGTGTCCACAGGCTTCTTCTCACACGGATCCAACAGGCCCGGTCCACCTGGTAGGTACAAACAACATTTTGAAGACTATCTGGAGACATTTATGATAGACTATGGAGACATTTAGGAGACATTCTGAAAACATTCTCCATGAATGCTGTCCCAACTGATTGAAAGCCTGATGCGATATTATTCATGCCTGTGACGAGAACATCTCTTGCACCATGAACCATCACTTTTCAGTTTGAATAGATAAAGTTGCTCAGTTAAGGAAAACATTTTAAACAAGCAAGAAACTCTTATTTGTTGTCACTTCATATCTCAGCTGACTCAGAGGTCTACAATAGCTCCATATAAAACCTGACCTGTTTAGTGTTTGTAAAGTTTCTTACCACTGAGTAAAATCCCAGAGGAAACACATTCAAAGACTCGTCTCAGAGCATCACCAGGGCTGAGAGGGGCAGGGGCACTGCTAATGGCCTTCTCTACCAGCAGCTCCATCGCCTGCACACAGACAACATTCAAACTACTTCAAGAGGTTTCTGGAAGTCCTGCTTGTAAAACATTAACTAGGCTTTTAAAGCTGGACACATCTTTATAAAATCATTTTTTTTACAATGTTTCTCCTTTTACAAAGCATTCATCAAAACAACATTTGTAAAAATTCATATCAATTCAGAAAACAGAAAATTTCAACTTTCCAAAGCTTGTTACGTACTCTGCAAGAATTGAGGAAATAATTTTCATAAGCTCTCAAGAACAAGAACAGTGATTGTTTTGGGCAGAACGTTCCAGACTTCATGAGAAACTCAAGAGCAGAACTCCTGAGGACTCCTCAAAGGGCCTCCCACTGCAGGACTGACTTTTACCAACAGCACTCTTTAGCAGTGGTCACAGCACAGATAACACGCTAATAGTAAAACTCACTCACTTAGATTTATTTTATTTTATTTTTTACCAACTTTGGGAACTGTTAGCAGACCAATGAGAATCCACTAGATTGGATTTTGCAAAAATGTATACCCACAAAAAAAAAATCACAAATGTAAAACTTCTATTTTTATGCCATTTATCTAGAATTAAATAAAAACTATCCCCTCTTATGAAAAAGGTAGGATGTGTCAGGTACTGAGTGTAGCGTGTAGCATCTTTAGCAGCAAAACGTCAAACTAGAAGTGTTAAAAAGAAATAAAATTACATTTCTCAATATTTAAATGAATACTAAAACTGACCACGTATAAAATATGGTAGAGAAGGTATTTGATATTTATTGTTCAACTAACTTCAAAACAGTCCTCATTAAAATCCAAACTTGATCAAATAAATGCTTTTATTCTGAAAGGGTTAAATTGGAAGTATCATCAGACAAGACAGGGTTTTAACTCTGGTTTGGATTGGCAGATTTGCCACAAATTAAACCTTAAAATTAAACCAACAGAAAACTAACAACACGTTTGCATCAGTCAGCAGGCGCTACCATCAGCGATAAGCAGTTAGCATTGGCTTCCTCTAATTATTCATTCTGGTTAGTGGTTTAGCATTAGTGGAGGTAAGATTATTGTTAAGTAGATTAGTGGTTAGTGAAGATATGTTTTTGGTTAACTGCACCCACCACTGCTCTTTAGTCTGAACAAGTTGAGTTTTTTGGGAATTTGGCACAAAGGTGACATCTTTTTTGCCACCCTCCTCTTTGCACAAAGTTTGGCTTTTTTCTATCTACCAGTTTGTGTGTCTTCACATGCCTTTATAGAAATGTTGTATGAGGTTTCACACTTCCTCACTGCTTTGGCCAGCTGCTCCTCAAAACGTAATGTTATGCATATAACTACTGTTCCCTGAAGGAAAGGAACGAGGTACAACATCATGTATGGGAACCACGCCCCTGCGTGTCCTGGCTGAAGCCACCTCTAATCACGCCTTTAGGCAGGTGACGTGATGACGACAGATGTCAGGCTCCGCCTGTCGCCATCACAGTCACTCCTTAAGTTCGGTGACTGCTCTTCACCGAGCCCAGCTGTGCAGCGGGGGGCCATCATGTGTTGTACCTCGTTCCTTTCCTTCAGGGAACAGTAGTTA